GAAACAGATTTAGAGCTTGACTAAAGGCACAAGGTAGAAATACATTGAAGACACAACTTGTTACGTGGGAGAAGAAAGTGTATCTGATAAGGTCACAGATAAGCAATGGGTAGGGTCTCATCAATGTGTGAAGTTACTGAGCTCTGATATAAATAATACAATTGACACTGTGCTTTCATATTTATTATTGAGTAAATGATAGTATATGGATAACAGTGCACTATTCTACCCTGAAAGCAACTGATTCAGTTATTAAATAATACTATTTAAGTAGAAAATATACCTTTATATTATTATTTATCATTTATGAAAAAGAAGCCAAAAATCTAGCAACTGACTACCTTAAAAGGTAGAGAATCATTCTGTGGTTAAAGGCTGTGGTAAAAAGAATAAAAACATAAAAATGTTAGTATAGGTTTCAAAATTGCTAGGTCCAAACCTCTGCAATTGTTTTCTTCCTAAATCATGAATTCTCTGTGGGCTTTATTTTGAAATAGGTATTTCTGCTATAAAGTCTGATAAATGATATTCCTACTCTAAAAAGCGAGCAACTGGAATGCCACATTTTTGATGCATATTTTTGCAGCACAGAGGGGATTAAATTCTAAATGTCTCAGCTGTTAAAGGCCCCTTCAGACTTGCCCAAAAGAAGGAAAAAGCTTTCCCTAAAGCAATTCATCAGATCTATTTGGGCACAGTGACATTCTCTCATCGCTTGTGTGGATGAGTTGCACTGAATAGTTCAAGTGTTTGCAGCTGCTTGGAATATTTAAGGAAAAGCTGTCTCTAAGTTCTCATCTTGGTTTACGCAGGCTGGCCAATGCTCACCTCTGGCTAATGTCCACCAAGGCTCTCACAATGAGTAGTTATATCATAAAAGTGACATCTTCCATTCAGTGCTTCCATCGAGTGCTCACCACGTGCCCAGAAATGTGCTTTGCTTTTCCCAGCCATTGTATCATTTAATGTTCATGCTTCTGATATTAGGGGAATGACTTAAATTTATGTCTGTTTTCTGCAGTATGAAAAGTTTGTCGAACCAAATCTTATGCATCGTAACCTTGACAAGTACCTGCTGTTGCTTTCTCTTACCTAATTGCTGGTTGTTGAATCTTGGGGATACTCTGATTACTTCAGTAAAGGCAGCAGTGATCACTAACTTAAACAAAATTGTTAGACATAGAACACATGTGTAAACAGGTAGAGTCTAATTTGCTGATTGTTGATGGACTCAGGACAGTTGAAAGAATAAGCAACTGATGGGATAAACTCAAGTCAAACAACTGGAAACAAGATGTGTATTAAATGGCAAATTGGAACAAAATGAAGTGACTGATACATTTTCACCTGATTGGAAGGTGAAGCATGTTTTAGTTATAAAACAGCACTTGTATGCATTTATCCTTCCATTATCCTAACGTAAGGTAGATGGGACAGATGATCGCATCTGACGTAGTGCATGTGGCTTATTATTTTTTGTTATGATTTGAACCTTATTGACTTCCCAGCATATCTCCTACCACATACAGTCTGTGTATTCTTCTTCCAAATGACTTGCATGTTTCTGACCAAATTAAGGCCTTCCAAAAATGTCTATGCCTTTGTCTATGCTGTTCCCTCTGCCTGGAATGCCCTTCCATCTCCACTAGTCTAACTCCTCATTCTTCGGGACTTTGTTTGAACATCACCTCCTCAGACAAGCATTCTTTGAATGACTGTTGCATGCACAGTACTCCCCCACTTCCTCTGGGCTGCCACAGCGCCCTGTGATTACCTCCATCACCTCGTTTGACGTGTGGTATAATTTTCTGTTTATTTGCCAGGTGCACTAAATTGTGACTCTTCAGGAGCATAGTCTGTCTGTCTTTTATGGTTTTATTTCTGTTTTTCAGCACCTTGCCAAGTCTATACAGAGTATGGGCTCAATGAGCAATTTTGACTTGAAGGAGTGAATATATTCATGTATATCATGGATATTGATTTTTCGCTACTGCCCCAACTCCCACAAACACACATACACATTTTCACTGCGTTCTAGTGTGTGTAGACTTCGAGTAGACTCATGCATGGGTTTTGTTGTAGTTGTTGAAGCTCAAGGTCCCGATCTGACAGAAGTGACTACTGGAAGAATGTACTTCGTGTTGAGTCCTGTAGAACTTGTGCCTGGAACACAGAATGCGCTTGACATTAGTCCTTTGCTAGTGAAATTTCAGGTTTGTTTGTTTGTTTTTAGCAGCATGATAAGAATGCTTTCATGTTAAACAAGAATACAAAATCATGAAGAAAGTCCAAGAACCAGGTTGAGACAACACAACAGAAGTGGGGCTGGAGCTGGAGCTGTGAAAGGAGCCCGTGTTGCACTGTGCTCCCAGGTCTGCACAGAGGAGTCTGTGTCTGGCTCCCACTCCCCCTTGGCTCCCCTCATCCTCTCCGCACCTCTTATTTGGTTCCCTTTGATAGAACATGGGAGGTGGACATGGATTACTAGGGAGCAGGCTTTGACAACTGAGGTTTCATTCCATTTTGAAGTTTTTCTCAAAATGGCCAATTTATTTTCCTCTCCTGGATGTGTTCTGTATGTGTTGCTACACGAGATCAGTGAATTCAGAAAGGCCCTCCACGCTTTTGTCCCCAAGCCCCCAGCCATGCCATGCAATGCAGTAGCCAAGAGAAGCCAAGAGCCATGCTGGGCTCTGGAATAGCCAAAGGCACAAATCCCATCTGGGTCTCCTTCAAAGCAAGCTGCTGCTTTGCAACAAGCTACCGAGTGGTGGTACAAAAGTTCTTACCTGCTTACTTAATGGGTGACTTGTCCCTTTGCTTTTATTTAGCCATCTGTTCTGCTGTATGTCCCTTTAAACTTGTAAGATCCATCACCTCGTTTAAGGTGTTACCTTGACACATTGCAATGTTATGGACATAATGATTCCACAGAGAAGCAAATTAAAACAGTTTTTCATGATTAGAAGGTTAAATGAGGTAAGGTTGTGGTAGTTAGTGGTGAGATAAGGAGTTTTGTGGAGGCAGAACTCAAGGGACTTCTAGATGACTGGAAAATTAGGCTGGCTAGACAGGGGCATGGATAGAGCTTTTATAAATTACAGGAACTGAGCAAGAGTGAAGACTTCCTTTGGGTGTCTCTGACGCCGTCGCTTCATTTTGCTGCCCTTACGGAAGTGATGGCTGTGGTCCCAGGGAGGATACAGGGGCCAGCTTTGGGTTTCTTCTCTCCTCTGAGACATTCTATAAGGATCAAAAAGCAGCTGATTCCACCAGGAAGTGGCGGGCTAAAAACACAACGGCAACAACAGACATTGTTATTCCTAGAAAGTTATTTGGCTTCCCTTAAGTTTGAAGAAGAATCAGGGCCAAGCGCAACTTCAGGAAGGAGTATTTCATTGTATCTTCACCCTGGAGGCAAGGCAGAGTTGTTCCTGACATCTGCCCTCAGCTCTGCTCTTTTTTCTTGGTCTAGACTTCCTGCCTGACCCCTTGATGGCTTCACCCTGAAGACCCATCAGTCCCTGAAAACTTGGACTTAGAAAGTCAAGGGCTTTGTCTTCTTACTCTTTTAAATCAATTCCTGCCCTGATCACCCTGGTTTCTCCTGATATGACCAGTATCATTGCAGTTGCCTGGACTCAAAACCTCAGGCATTTCTAAATTTTCTATCCACCACTTATATCCAATCAGTAGCCAGATTCTCTGTCTTCCATCTAAGCTGAGTTCCTCTTGTCTTTTCTCACGTTTCTGCTTCGTGTGCTACGGCCCTAGTTTCTGTCCCTCATTTCCTCTGTCCTTGCCAGTTGGAACATTCTCCTAACTAGTTGCTGCCTACCTTTCTGTCTGCTCCAAAGCACCTTAAACACTGGTGTTTGATTATAACTTACAATATTGTAGCATTTCAAAAATCAAACAAACAATGAAAAGTCTCCTCTGATTTTCCATCATCTAACAAACTCAGTAGAGACTCAGCCTGGTATCTGAGACAGTCCATAAAGTTATCATTTGTATTTTCAGCTTTTTCTTCTTCTCTGTGCTCCACTAAAATAATGCGGCTATGAATAAACGCATGTTGTTTTGCCTCCGTACTCTGTTCCCTCTACCTAGAAAGCTTTGCTCACACATCTCTATTGATTAAAACACAAGCGTTTTATCAAGCTCAATCTCAAATACATCTCTCCTTTCCCTACCCTAGTCAGATGCAGTTGCTCCTGCTCTGGTTTGATGGCAGCACATTTAGGGGATGTTCTTACGCTGCTTGGCATGGATTTTTTTTCCTACTCCTTTTTGAACCTTACTTTTGCATATCCTATAGCAGAAAGTTTCCTGCCTGTAAAGGGTGCAAGGTAAAGAAACAGAATAATGATTGATAATGAGATTGCATCTGTAAGAATGAAAAATCCATTCATTCATTCACTTGAGCGTTTATTGGGTGCCTGCAGTATGTAAGAGACTGTGCTAAGGGCCTGGGAAACACAGAGCGACATGGCACAGTACACCCCAGTTCCCCAGGAACACAGAATTACATGGAGGAAAAGTCACAGAAGGAATTATATATACCATGAAAAATGTACAACAATAGAAGTGCTGTTGAGGTGTGAGAGTGGTGGGACTTCTTACCTCTTATTAGGGTAGATAGGTTGGGGCTGATGGGAAGGTAGTGGGGAGGGAACTGAGCAGGTAGGAAAGGCTTCCTATAGTTGGAGATGTCTAATTTGGGTTTTGAAAACTGAATAAGAGTCATCAAGGAAAATAAGAAGGTAAGAAAGCATAGGGATAGGATGAAAAGATAATCCAAGAAATCTGCTTTGCTTTCTCTCAGGTTCCACACATGAAGGCAACCTGGTCACCAAATGATTATTTTCTGTCTCCCAGTGAAATATCCTAAATGACGAAGTCCTTTGAGCCCTTTGAAAGAAAAAGGAAGACGACTAAAGGAACCTCTCTGAGACTGCTTTTGGTTGAAAGTCATTCTTCTTTTTTTGAATGTCTTGTAGAGAAAGTCTGTGATTGCAGTGAGCTTCATAGCAGCGTTCCTCTTCCTGCTGGTTGTGCGCCTTGTAAACGAAGTGAATTTCCCATTGCTGCTAAACTGCTTTGGACAACCTGGTACAAAATGGATACCTTTCTCCTATACATACCGGCGGCCCCTTCGAACTCACTATGGCTACATAAACGTGAGGACACAAGAGGTAAGACCTCAGACCTAGGGTTTGAGGGTAACCATGGTAACAGCTTTTCTTTAGGAGCCAGGTGGCTTCCAGTCACTGAACTTACTCTGCCCCGGTAAACTTCCTTGGGACCCTGACAATTTCTGTTTTCTCATTCTTAGACATTTACTGACAAATGTCTAAAATCTGCTGCCCCTCCTACGTCAAATCTCCTGACTCACTGGCTTCATGTGGAGTTGAGGAAGCAATTACCTGTTTTCCTGGTGGTTTGTGGCATAACATACACATCTTTCCATTTAGAAACTCTGATCAGCAGTTCCCAGCAGGAGAACTGACTGGCTTTATTTCCTGGAGGTCAACTGGTTGGGGACAGCTCTTTGTAGAATTGCAGAGAAGCATTTATACTCTTCAAAACTCTGTAATCCTTAGACCTGGAGCTGGAAAAGGCCAAGCTGATTTAAAAATTCTCAGTGGCTGCAGAGATAATGGGATTTAAAGAGTTTTCAAATTTAAAGGGGTTAAAATCATTTAAATCCTATAATCACTGAACCTCTAGATCTTTATAGCCAATTGGTGGTATAGAGGAGGCTGGAGTATACTGACAGCTAGAGAGTGCACACTGTGCTAGCACTTTCACAAGCAAGGATTTGCATCACGGAGTGAGGCTGAAAAAAAAAAGATCCTCACAAGATGTATGAAGTGTAGGGAAGTGATTAATAAAATTGTTTTCACTATTTGTTTCTATGGAGTGGAATGAATGCGAGGTTAATATTCATAGATGCAACATCTAAGCCTGTTGGAATTTGTTGGTGACAAAAGCACAAATCATTAGTGTGTCTACATCACTGGGAAGACTTTTGTATCAGATCCCACTGAAAGGTCATTTTGTAAAGATACTAGAGAGGAGAGTTGCCCACAGAATGCCACTCCTGTCCTAAGAGCTATTCTTAGCACCAGGGAGGGATGTTGAAAACTGGCTTGGTCTATATCCTTTTGTAGGCAATATCATACCTGAGTCATTGCTTCTGAGTGGTTTGATTCTTTGAAAATTGTTTCTGTATCTGCAGGATTTATAGGCTTTTTATTAGACATTTATAGTGAAAAAGAAAAAGGCACCATTAATAACATATAAATTCTTAGGGCCTTGCTTGATGTTTAGCCTTTAATTGGTTTTAAGTTAATTTTTTAAAAAGTGTCCATTGCTTGAATTTGTTGAGTGTCTTAATCACTTGATTATCTATATCACAATGTATCTCTTAGAGAATAGTTTGTCTCACTCTTGTCTTTTGTTATTTTTATTTCTGGCTGTCATTTAATATTCTGTAAGTCTACTGGCTCATGTTAATCATTTCACAAGTGCCTGTCATGGGCAGAAAGTGAAACATGTGACTGAAGTGTCTCACAGGTTATTCTCGTGAGGGAAATCCCACCAATATCAAAGAGCTTTTCATTTGCTTAAATATTAATGGATTGGATTTTGGAGTGTTAAGGGGAAAACTGACCCAGGGCTGCAGTTATTTAGTCATATTAACCAGGCTACCTTTGAAATTCTTTTGGTATAGTTTTTAATACAATGACTTTACTACAGGATCATTATTTTGATCTTGTGGAGGTAATTTCCTGGGCAGAGATATGACCACAGGAAAGAGTTTTTAGACTACAGACTACTGTAATTTTATACTACACAGGCATGATTTGAGTCCAGTTCTCACACTTACAAAAACAGTAGCAGCTGGCAAAGTTATTTTGAAGATTAATTAGGGCAAAGTGCATGAGATGTCCAGTTCCTAAATGATGTTAAATGAATGAAGTTCTTTTGCTTCCCCCTTGCTTATCAGTTATAACATGAAATGCTTAGTACGAACAACACCAAAATACCAACGTCCAGAGCACCAGATTATGGTATTTAAATTTTAAAGAATCTGGACTCAGGGCAGTAAGTATAGGCAGCTATTCCCAATCTCATTAGAAATCAGAGTTTTGCAAAATAAAACCACAGTGGGAGGCGAACAAAAGCACATGGAGGTATCACTATACAGTAAATACCAGATTGGCAAAAAATCAAGAATCTGACCATACCAAGTGTGGATGATGACGTGAAACAATAGGAACTCTCATGTACTAGTAGGGGAGCAACCATTTTGAAATAAATAGCTTCCCAGTATTGGGTAAAGTTAAAGATCTGCACACCCCACATCCCAGCATCTCCAGTCATCTCTGTATTCACTAGAGGCACTCGTGAGTGAGCACAAACAGTAGGAGGTGTGGACAATGTGTACAGCAGCATCATTCCTAACGGCTAGAACCTGCAAGCAACCGACATGTCTATCAGTAGGAGAATGGTTACAGTCGTGCTGGAATCAATGAAAATGAAGCCGTATGTGACAACATGTATGAATTTTAAACATAATTTTGAGCAAAAGATGCAAAAATGAAAGAATACAGAGTGATTCAATTTTTAGATCATAGGAAGAAGCAAGACTAAATGATGTTGTTTAAGGACATGTATAGGAGGTAGAACTAAAAAGGAAAAGAAAAAAAAGCAAGGAAATTATCACGTAAGTGAGAAGAGCAGTTGCCTCTGAGAAAAATGTGTGGTTTGTGATTAGTGTGAGTTTTTCTGGGATATTGGCAACATCCCGTCTCTTGATCCAGCTGGAAGTTACATGGCTGTTCACATTCTGAATATTTATTAAATATACCATCATGTTGTGTGCACTTTCTGGCATGTCTATTTCACAATAAAAAATTAAAAATACATTCTGAGCCCAAGTAAGATACTTATTGACTGGGAATTACACAAAGCATTTCGCCTAGTTTAACAGCAAGAAATAACTGAAAACAAACAATGGGGTATTAACCTATCTAAAATAAACTAGAAATATTTGAAATAGGCAATTACATTTTGTGCAAAAACTAGCAGATGTACAAGTAGCTTATTCCTCTAGTCATGATAGAAAGGGAGGCCCCATGTTGCACAGCAGTACAGGCACAAAGCAGAAAATACTGCATGGAAGTTGAAAAACAACGTATAATACCCCAAAAGAATGATAGATTTCCCTTCAAACTCAGATACTTCTAGGCTAAATTGGGAGGAAAACAAAATTTGGTGGCTCTCTACTTCCCTCCTGTCTGATTTCATCTTTCCTTCTCAAAATTCTACCCTTCCCGCCCCTCTGTCTGTCCTTTACTCCCAAATGCTCTGTGTATTGGTCATCACCGAATAATGGCTTCAAGTGCAATCCTTCCCAGAGACAGTTGCATTAAATAAGACTCAGGAAGAAAAAAAAGATTCAAGAGCCAAGGTAATATAGCTAAAATGGTAAGTGGTGGATTTGATGTTTTGGGGCAAATAACTATAATAGTGGCCCCCAAACCTGTCTTCAAAAATGACCACATACTTCTGTGTCCCTGTTTACTCTATTCTAATCCGGAGAAAGGTCAATAGCTGTAGCTGAGCTGAGTCAAGTAGTCACCAAGATGATCTATTTATTTTAAGATCTTGGTCCTTGAGGTTTCCTCAGCAGTTTCTCAGAAGAAAGCACATGCTTTCTAGAAACCACCAGACTTACAAGAATTTTTTTTTAAACATGTAGACATGCCAGCAATGATTTTCAGACTTAGAGCATCTGCAGACATGCCCAATGCTTCAGCTGGTCCAGACATTGCTGTCACTAGACAAAGGTTTTCTGAGCAGAAATTTTTGCAGGAAAGATTGTCTCTTCAGTACTGTCTAAACAAAGGCTAGGGTGGGATTGGCAGCATTAGGCTGAAGATTTCATGGACACTGGAGAGCTGAGTTGCTTGGGAGCGAAATTTGATTCTCTTGTTATCTTTAAAAATGTGATGAGTTCTGGTCCCCCTTCCTTTCTTAATCAGTATAGGCTAAGGTTCTTCCCTTTGAGGGAGGGAAAATCGTGAGAAGCAGGGAAGCAAAATGAGTGCCAACCAACTTGGTGGGTGCTGAAATTCTGAAAGCCCCCGCTGGCCACAGAACCCAGAATTCCTCATCAGTGCTTATGTTTGAGCTGACAACCACCAGGAGGCACTGCCACCGTGAAGCTGGGACCAGGAGTGATTTAGATTTTGCAGTAAGCCCTGTACCTCCGCTGCATCCCACCCCCACTTTAATTTCTGACCCACTAGCGGCTCAGACTTGCCCTCTCATGTCACGACTGGTTAATAATGCAACCCTCCACTTTAACCAGACTGAACTTGGGGAGCCTCATCTATAACTTTATAGCAGCTGCTTATTATCATTTGATCTTGGATGTAGTAAAAATCATATAATACCCATATGTGTTTCCAAAAAAATATATCTATGGTTGGCAATATCCTGAGAACTCTGCTTTCTCCTTAATGTAAATTTTACCAATTCATTTTAAATTAATTGTGGCAGAAAGAAGTTGTCAAAGACTAAGGTACTGGTTCCAGGTAATCACTGTGTCTCCCTGTTGAGATCATGTTAGATTTTGAGGAAAGAGAAGGAAATGAACTTTAGGCTAGATTCTATTTGTAGTTTCCAGACCATGGAATCAGTGATTGTGTTGTCTCTTTTGTTGGTGACCTGGTGTAAAGACATTTCTCAGAGCAGGCAACCTGCAACTTATTTGCATTAACTACTAGATAGGAGAATCAGGCTCTGGGGGGCAGTAGGATGCCACAGCCAGACCCTCTAGGTGGTCAGTGGGGATGACAGATGACCCCCTCAGACCTGACAGGAGAGCCCTAACCTACCAAAGCTGCAGGGGATTTCAGGTATTTGGGGAAGAGTGCCCTTTCGGATGGTACCTAAAGATGTGCTAAGTGAAGACGCACAGCTTTTCTAGAACATAGCAGTCGAGTTGTAGGGCTGTATATTGATTTGCTTAACAATTTAATGAGGCCAAAATATGTCTCTCTAAAAAGCGAGAACATTTTAAAGCCTCAAGTAGACTAAAAAGAATACTTAGGATCAGTTGCTGTGACAGGCAGACTGCACTAGCCTAATTAAAGATGTGCATACCATATCGATGTTGCAA